GGGCTTGGCCGCTGCGTTCGGCGGGATGGGGGCGTGAGCTGGTGGGATGGGAGCACCCTGGTGCTGTGCCAGGCTGCTGGAGCCACTGTGTCATTGATGGGGCAGGATGAGAAATAGTGGGATTTGACTGTAGGAAATCCAAAAGGCTCATGAGTTTATGGGATGCATTAGGGTTGTTGCTTAATATTAGTGGCTTGGTGTAATGGACTTTCTGGGATGAACACTGCTGTGCTGGGGTGCTGCAGAGTGGGAGGCAGTGCTTTAGGGAAGGAGGAATCAGGGAGGGCTCAGCTGGGTTTGTCTCCTTATGTTCCCCCAGTTTGTCCTGGCCAGACCTCAGGGGTGGGAAGCGTGCTGCGGATGCATGCCTTGGAAGCATGCTGCAGGGATGTGTGAGGGAGGAGCATGCAAGGGACTGCTGCGAGCACATGTCAGTGTCCTGTTGCACTGTCGGACGTGTAGGCACTGCCAGGCACCACACTGCCCCTACACTACCTGGAATGTTGGGACCAGACAGGTAGACTCCACTCACAGACACAGAACTAGCTGTTAGTAGGAAAGAAAAGTGCTAATTGCTCCATCGTTCCTCCTGGGATGGAGGGGGGAGAAGATAAGAGCGGCTCCATGGTCTGCCCCAGAAGGACAGGGAAAAAACTCCTTCTCCTGCTCTGCATCCATGACTCTGAGCTGTGCCAGCAGCACAGTCCTCCTCCCACAGTGTTCCCGCCAGTCTTGGAGCCAGCCTGGCAGAGACCAGAGATTGTCAGGCAGGGCTGGAGCCTCAGTTTCTCTCCTATTCCTCAGGGAAACGTGGCTGTGACAGACCCTGAGGCTTCATCTTGTCCCTCCATCAAAACCTCACCCTACACTTTGCTCAGCTGGGCAGTAGCTGCAACCCCATGTCTGTCCTGCCTTGCTCCTTCTGAGTGCTGTTTAATTATCAGTTACTTCATTATCAAGCAAATAAGATCAGTGGGGTGGGAGCCTGTTCCCAAATCCCATCCCTCCCCTTCAGGAAACCCTGGATTTACTCTCCCAGCGGCCGTTTCTCCTCCAAAGTTTTGCAGGGACTGTGATTGTTTTTTAGCAAGACGCAGTTGCTCCAGTGACGGGTGGAGGAAACCATCAGGATTGCAAGTGCAACGCCATGCGGGGCAGCTAGGATAAAAATAACAGCCTGGGGTGGCGTGGGGCCCGCTGGATCCTCCTGGCAGAGCCAGCTCAGCCCGACACCAGCTTTGCTGAGCCGGGAAAAGCGTGCGGCCGCACCACTGGGTGCCTGTAAATAAGGAGGCTGGAGCTGCAAAAGCTGATGCCTGAGAGCTCGGCTGGTTTACACAAGCCTCTTTTTATTATACACTATTTACACTTTGGATCAAAAGCAGCTCTGCAGTGTTTTCCATCAGGGGCTGGAATGCGCCCACTATCCTGGCGGGGGACTGCATCCCTGCCCAGCGCGGAGGGGAATAATTTCCTATTAAGGAAACCTCGGAGCAGGAGGAAGTAAGACGTTAAAGCCGGTTTCCTCCCGGGAGTCCTCTCCTAGCAGACCCTGCGACAGTGTGGCTGTTGTGGCAGGGAAGAGAACACTGCTTTCAGTGCCATGTCCCTAGTCCAGCTCAGCTGCTGCAGGAGCAGAATTCAGGCTTCTCCATCCTGTGAATTATAACTCACCATTTCCATCAGCGTGTATTCCTGGTGAATGTTGCACTGGGCAGAACCACTCTCTCTACCTGCTCCCTTTGAAAACTTGTGCTCTCCTTCTTCCTCCTTTCAGCTCAGCTTTGGGGTCAAGAGAAAATAGAGGTAATTTTGCCTCTAGAGGGTCCTTGGGTTAAACCCCAGCTCTGCCACTGACCTTCTCTTTGGCCTTGAACCTTGCCTCAGTTTCCACACCCAGGGTGGAGAGTAATTGCAGGCAGGTTGTGAAAATCGATTATTATGGTTTATAGAAGGGCTGTGCTATGATTAGCATTGCCTGAGCTCGTAACTGCGAGGTGGAGTTTTCCAGATGGAGCATTTACATTCCACCTTGGATGGCAGTGTGTACCTTACCCAAAGAAATGTCTCTGAGAATACATGAATCCCTTTTGCGGGGGAAGATGTGACATATCTCTATGTAAGATTATTGCTAGGAACTAATTAGCAGGACACAGCAGCCAGGCTGTGCAGACACCCAACTCGCTCCACGTACCTGTGGTGTTGTAGATGGATGTTTGAGTTTCATTTGCTCTTGGCACTCAGGGGAGCCCCTTGCAGAGTTAAAGTACTGTAACACACAGCCTTCCGCTGTCTGGGGGTGAAATGTCAGGAGAAGGCCAGATTTCACTCTTCTACACCATAAAAGGCTCTTTAAGGATAGAAATCCTGAGGAAAACAAGCCCAAGTGCTGGAGGTTGCACTGCAGTAATGCCAGGCACGTGCCCAAGCTCTGGAGATGTGCAGGCAGGCGGCCACCAGCAGTGCTGATCATACCCCTGACCAGGGATGATGGTCACCATGGTCAGCAAACCTTCCTCACCCCATGCTCTGCTCCAAGGGTGTCTGAGGCACCAGGCTGCTTGGCAGCTCCTGACCTGCTGCCTCTCTGTTTGGGCTTCCCAGCCAGCACTGTGGCAGTGCCAGCTATTGCCCTGCAGCCTGTCTATCCAGACAGCACTACCCTGGCCTCCTCTGCTCCCTCCCAAATTCTCCTGTGTTGGCAATCCATCTGCTTTCCCCATTGTGCAAGAGGCTGAGCACAGAGCTGGCTGTTTGAGGGAACAGTGATGGTTTTTTTCATTCTTTTTTTCATTATTTTAGTGAAAATCATTGGGCATGGGGTCACCCTGTCCTGAACTGCCCATCCAGGTCAGCCAGATGCCCCCTCACCCCAGGCAGAGCCCCTTGGTGCTGCTCAGATGTCGGGCAAAAACACTGGGCATGTCTATCAGCAGCCCTGGGGATCAGCTGGTGGGATGGAGCTAATGGAAGTTAAAGTATGATGGTTCCTCACCCAGACTGCTGCCATTCAGGAGAAAAGTCATCTTGTAATGCAGCATCTGTGGCCTCCCCCTTTCACACCCTGTGCCCTGTTTGGGGGATCCTTTGGAGTGGGTGGGAAAGGCAGTGAGGTCCTGGGATCATCTCCCCATGCTGAAGTAGACAAGCTGCCTGGAGGACAGTGATGAGGGCACAGCCACCACTGAGCCATGAGCGGGCCACTTAGAAGCCATCCTGAGGTGTGTAAAGGCTGCTCTTGAGTTTTCAGGGAACATGGGTTGGTGCCAAACAAGGTGCTCTGCACCCAGGGGTGCTGCCTGTGCAGTATGTGCTTGCCTGTCATATGGGGAGGATGGTCCCACTGAAAGCAGGGAGAAGGAGCGTGGGAATGGCCAGTGTTCCTCTGTCCAGAACAGATTAAAATGGAAAGCAAGAGGAAGGGCGGGACTGGCTGCAGCGGGAATCTTTGTTTTTTTGGTAGCTGTATGCTCAGTACCTGTGCAGCTCATACAGGGAATTTCCTTCCCACTGCTGCTTTTGAGGGACAAAAATGAGTGTAAATACGGCAAATCCCACTGCAGTGGGATCTGCTGCAGTCTGCCTCTGCACACGGTTGTGCCTCCCTGTGACTTGGACCAAAATCAATGGAGGGACTTGGCTGTGCATCCTGCAGTGCACGGGTCTGGCCATGCTCTGAGGTCATTTGACAGGCATACATCCTGGTAATAATACCTCAGAAATGTCTGCCAGACGTCCCAGGATCAATAGGAAAGCAAGATAAGAGAGGCAATAGTGACTGCTGTGCTTCAGCTGTTTGACTTCAGACACTGGCCCTGAAAGCCCCTGTGCAGCTGGGTGGTTTATGCCTGGAGACCACGACTAAAAATTAATACATTTTGGATTTAGTTTTTGTTTTAGTGTGATATCTGTAGAGGTCCTGCTATACTGCTGTTTGGGTAGATATCTAAGGATTTCTAAACTGCATTCTGAAATGTTCAGCATTAATTCCTGTTTAAGTAGGGTTTACTCACCACAGTGAGCCTGGGCTGTGTGGGTGCTCGGTGTCAGAAATCACATCAGTGCAGCTTCCCTGGCAGCAAGACAGGGCATCATTCACAGAGTGAACTACTGCCTGCTTTCGGAGCCTAAGCTGCTTTTCTGTCCGTACCCACGTCTCTCCCTTGAAATAACAAGAGCGCTCAATGGCTCCCGTATCGCTTTCCAGACCTCCCCTGCCCAGCCACATTCCCGGCAGTGCTGCCGCTGCCTCCCTGCGCTCAGCGTTCCCAGCCTGCGTGGCCAGGCGGCAGCAGGCATCTCCTCGGGGAGCGGGGTGTGTGGTGCAAATGACGTCCTGAAATCGCTGGAGTCAGCAGAGCCTCCTGACTAAATAAGGGCAGGCAGAGCAGGGCTTTATCAGCGCAGCCCCGGCACGACAGCTGAGCGCCGAGCCCCGGGGCAGCCCACGCCGCTGGAGCTCGGCTCTGCGCTTCCACTGATAAGGTGCTTTATTTGGCACAGCTTTGCCCCACCGAGCTCCTGCCCTTGTCTCCCGTGCTCTCAGGGGTTTATGGTGCTGGTGGGGAAGGTGGGTAACCCAAGTGATGTCTTCCCCATGCTTTGGTGAGACACGGTGTGTGTCCAGTGCAGAGCTGGGCTGATGACCTCGGGCATCCTGGAGCTGACGGCACAGCTCAG